TTTATCCCCTCCTGACCCTTTGTCTTATGATTTAACTGTGTCTGGTGATTCTCAACCCCAAGTGTACATTCTAGAACTCCAGGGGAGCTTTCACAGAGCATAGTGCTTGAGTTCCATCCAAGCCCAGCCAGATCTGCTTTGCTACCCACAATGTTGCTGTCTAACTTGGTTAAAATCTCCCCCTGAGAGGGTTGGGGATAACTCAGCAGTAAAGTGTTTGTCCTGCACATGCTTGTAATGCTAGTGCAAGGAAGTGGAGACAGAGGGATCTCTGGAACTCGCTGGCCAGCCAGCCTGGCCAAATCAGTGAGCCCTGGGTCCTAGTGACAGAGCTTGTTTCAAAAAACAAAGTGGTTTGCTCTTGAGGAATGAAAACCCCTGGCTTCCACACACATACATACATGGACACGCGCACGCGCACGCGCACATGTGTAGCAACCCTGGGGCAAATTGTATGGTGATTCTTTAATGAACCCTTCTGTTCTTGAGTTAGATGATGTGAGGTATAATTTATATGTGGTAAATAAACTTTTCCTTTTAAAGCCAGGTGGTGGTGGCACACACCTTTAATCCCAGCACTTTGGAGGCAGAGTCAGGAGGATCTCTGTGAGTTTGAGGCCAGCCTGGCCTACGGAGTAAGTTCTAGGTCTGGCTCCAAAGATACACAGAGAAACCCTGTCTCAAAAAACAAAAACAAACAATCAAACAAACATAACAACTTTGCCTTTTTAAAGTATTCGTTTAAAACACTTATTTTCATTCGTGTGTGTGTGTGTGTGTGTGTGTGTGTGTGTGTGTGTGTCCACATAGATCAGAGGGCCAGAAGAGGGTGTAGGATCCCCGGAGCTGGAGTTACAGGGGATTGTGAGCCACCCAGTGTTGGGGCTGCCATCAAACTTGTGGTCCTCTGTGAAGAGCAGCAAGTCTTCTTGTCCATATCAAGGATGCACTTTGATAAGTCTTGACAGATGAATAGTTCTATAACAACTTCTGTGGTCAATACACAGAGCATTTCTATGCACCCCCCAATTTTTGTGTTCTTTTGTAATCATCTCTTTCCCCTATATGTTAAATATGCACCTGAGAATGTTAGGCAACATTAGAAAGTAAGTCTTGAAAATATAGGTAAGAAAGCAGAGGACAACATTACCATACAAAGAGTAAAAAGAAGAGGAAAATTTCCAGATAATGAAATCTTAATTTTCCCAGTCTTTATTGAACATGTGCATAGATGTGCATATTTTTCCATGCATGTATTCATTTGCAGGGAAAACAGTGATTAGCTCCAATGTTGAGAATTATAGGAAATATTCATTTTCTTCTTTATATTTTTTCTTCATTTCCTATTTAGACTATAATAGTAAATTGCTTTGGTAATGAAAATAATATTTAGAAAATAGCAACCACTGTGCAAGTGATACATAACAGAGCTTCCTAAAGAAGGATGCCATCCCCACTAGGTTCCAGATGCCTAGCTCTAAGTCCAGCTCTTTGGCCCCATGTACCTTAAGCAGCTGGCCTGTAGTAAGTGTTATTGCCAAAAGAGAATAGTAAGAAGAAATTGACTTCCAGTGAGCTGGATATCAAAAAATATTGACCCAAGAGGAGAAAATATTGATGGAAAAAGAACCAAGGTCTTTCATTGCCTTGAAAGGAATAATAAACCTTCACTTCGCTGAATTCCACATTCTGTTCCTTTTATACAGGCAATTGCACGTTTCAAGTCAAAGATGGAACATCTTGGAAAACACTGTTAGAAGCTTGAATTTAGAGTTTACTAGAAAGGAAATCAGTGGAAAAGAAGACAATCTTAGAGATACAGAATAAGCATAATTTGCAGTGTGGGAGACAGGATGTGTGCTGAGGTATCTCGACAATAACGTCTGTTCAGCTTTGGTTTCAGCTCCTTTAGATTCAGTAGCATACTAGTTAAAGACATAATAGGAGAACACAGCAACCAGCTCTAACAGACCAGCTTCAGCTCTCCACGTGAGGCATAACTGATGCAGTCTCCCCCCAAACCAGCTCATCAGTCTACTGTGTTTCTGGTGATTTCTTAGGACATATACAATGGGAGATGACTATAACTGGAATGCTTTCTTCTACATTTTTCTCAAATAAAAGAAGATGATATAATAACATGTTGGTTGAGTCATTGAACCAGACACTTTTTTCCAGGTTGTTGTAGAATGGGTTGTTTTTCAGTACTGCTAGATAAAATGATGAGTTGCAATCTGTTTTGTGTTAAATTTGTCCACTGGTTGTGTTGTAGTAGTTATGTGTTGTTTGAACAGGGACTCATTGTATAGTCAATGATGGCTTTCATTGTGCAGTCCCCCTGCTTAAGACTTCTAAATGCTGGGATCACAAGTATGGGTCCCCAAACCCAGATCTTGGCATAGGTTCTAATGTCATTTTTCCATTGTTACAGTGAAAACATCTCTGAAATATGGTAACTTCAAATAATCATTGCTTTCTCACTGTTCTGTGTTTGGTAGTTTGGATTAAGGATTGTCGGACAGATACTGGCCGAGCTTCTTCAAATGTGTGATGTCTCAGTCAGAATGGTCAGGTGGGCCATTTCTCTCTTTTTCTTTTATTCTCCAGAGGCATGTAATCCAACAGGGCACACCTGAACCTACAGAGCCACAGGAGGACAGATCCTAGAGTCATAGTATATCCTTTAGCTCCATTCTGTTGGGAAAGAGAAGGCAACAGAGCTGGTTCTGGTTCAAGCAGTGGGTAAATAGACCCATTCTGTGAGGGGAGGAGCAGAGAAGCCATTTATACCCTTTGTGATCTTAACTTAGAGACAACACAGTGCACCTAAAAGAACAATAAACCTTGGAATTGGACTTTCCTGTCTTCCAGTTATGGCCTGCTACTAAATGTGACTCCATACACAAGAATGTGATGTGCAGCACATCAATAAATCCAGCTGCCATGAGAAATATGTTGTTGTTTTGTAATTCTTAGAACAATTGTAGCTCTAAGAAACAAAATCCTGAATTCAGAAAATTCTGATATAGGAAAACAACAGGTATGGTTCATTCAGTAGTTTGGCAATCAAACCCAGATTCCCTCCATTTATTTATTTCCTTCCCTCTCTCCCTCCCTCCCTTCCTCCCTCCCATTTCCCCTCCCTCCCTTCCTTCCTCCCACTGTGTCTCATGCCCTTGAATTTCTGATCTCCATCATTACTTCCCAAATGGCTGCTGTGATTCCAGGAGTTCCTTCCATTTCTTTTAAGTCATCTTTGATACTTTGTCTTTGGCCAGTACTCTTTCTGGGGAATTATAAGGTGCCATATGTGCCACAATTTTAGGCATTCTATACAGATGAGATAATACTCATCTCTTCTTTTGTGTATGTTTTCATTGAGTCTTTGTAAATATATTCTTCTTTATGTCATATTTACTCTGAATGCACTTCATGTTCTTGACTGAATCGGTTTCTAGAAACTGCTATGGAATTATCCTGGTTGGTTTAGAAGAATAAAAAACAACTTTCTATTCTGCTTTGCCTACAACAAGCTATGAAGTATTCCAGACACATGTACCCACTGTCATGAACTATGCTCTTCTTCCCTACAATGCTGGACCATACCCTCTCAAACCAAGAGCCAAAATAAACTTCTCCTCCCCAAGTTCATCCTGTCAGGCATTAAGCCACAGCAAAAAGAACTAATGTTAATATAGAAAATTGGAAACGGAGACATTTATGTGACAAACTTTTACCATGTGATTCATAGCTATTCTGAACTCTTTTATGGAAGGAATGTTGAAGAGTGTGGAGCTGCAGGCTTGAGATATTCTAGAATGCAATAAGCTGAACTCAGTGAGCCAACTGTGGAAGTTTGGAAGACCAGAATGCCAACAGAAATGCAGACACTAAAGACTGTGTTTGTATGGTTTCAGGTGATAGAAAGGACTCTACTGGAAACAGGGCTAGAGACCATTGGTGTTATATTTGGCAAACAATTTGGCTATGCTTTGTGTCCTGAAAACATGAATGGAGCTAAATTAAAAACTAATGAAATAAGTTGTTTGGTAAAAGGAATTTTAAGACAATATAACACACAGGCTGTGGGGTAGTTGTTGCTTGCTTTATTTACCAAGATATACAGTGAGAGGGAGAAAGAGCAGAAAAATATGGAAAATGTGCATCTTAGCAAGGGAAAAAAAGCACAAAGCCAGTTTAAGTGAACAGCATTTGTTTGACTAGTGTCTATAATTGTTCAAAAGATTAATGCCTGGAAGGAGAAACTTTGGACTTCCCTCTGGGAAAATAAAAAAGGTGCCTTGAAGGCCAGACTCCACTCATCGAGAAGGTTCAGAGGTGTAATAATGCAAATTCATTTGTAAGAAGGGCAATCTGAAACCATACAGCCTTCAAGGTAACCCCCGGAAAACAGTTGTACAGGAGAAGATTTTCCTGGGTTCAGTCTCAAAGGCACACAAAGCACCACGGTCCAAGTTGTCCACAGTACCCAGAGTCATCCACGCAGTAACGGTTTTACAGGCTTGCAAAATGTAGGTAGGTGTTATGGGGCCATGGAGGATTGCACCAAGGTTTCAAAAAACTGCTTAGGCCAGGCAGTATGACATAGGGATAGTTTATTTGAATGGAACTCCTGAGTAAGACTTTGGGTGAAGCTTTGAAGATGAAGCCTACATTGTATTGAAGACCTCAGAATATTGATGATGCTACAAACCTGGGTCCTTTTCCAAGGAAAGCAGGAAGTGCCAAGTGGAGAAACAGAATTGGAGGGAAGAGGGACAGATGATGTCATCGTGAGTACAGGATGCTGGACATGGAGCTGTAGAGTTTGCTTGTTTTGACCTCCTGTGTTTTGGCCTGATTTTTCTTGCTATCTTCTTGTTACTATCTTTTGGAATGACAATGTTTACTCTGTACCATTGTATGTTGGTAGTATGTAAATTCTTTTATTGTTAATAGTAGTAGTACTAATCATTATTGTTATTTTGTTTTACAGAGGCTTGCAGTTAAGAAGAGACTTAGCTCTTTTGAACAATGTTGAAAATGTCAAGACTATGTGAACATTTGAAGTCAGACTGCATGCATTTTGCATTAGGAGACAATCCTAAGCCTATGAAGGCCAGAGACAGAAGTTACAGTTTGAGTGCAGACACCTCCCATAGGATTGTGTGCTCAGATACTCAGTCACAGCTGATGGTGCTGTTCTGGGAGAAGGATGCGGACCTTTAAGAGACGGAGCCTCATTTGAGGAAATGGGTCTTCAAGGTGAGGGCCTTGGCATTTTATAGCACAGACCAGCTTTCTGTTCTGCTTTTTGTCTGACAGTGTGTGAGGGTCCTAATATGCTCCCAGCACCACAAACTCTGCCATGCCTCACCATTGTGGACTACAACCTTTAAATCTGTGAGCAAAACTGAATGTTTCAAGAAAAAGGAGAAGGAAGAAGGGGAGGAGGCAGAGAAGGAGGATCAGGAAATGGGGGAAGAAAAGGAGGAAGAAGGGGAGAGGGGAAGGACCAGGAGAATGGGAAGCAGATGCAGAAGCTGCAGCTGCAGCAAAAGCTATAACCCATTTCCTGGAAAATGGACCCAGACTTCCTTCCGTGCAGCAGATTAAGAGGACATGAGCAGATCCTGAAATAAATGGGGATTTTGAGGTAGGGTCGGGAGTTCCCATCTGTAATACCAACATTTGGGAGACGGAAGTGGGAGGATTGCAACAAGTTCAACCCTAGCCTGAACTACAGAGTAAATATTCCAGACCCTTTCTTTTATTTTAAAAATGAGATTCCCTCAGGCAATAGGAAAGGCAGGGCTGTTGGGGGAATCGGCTAAACAGCATCTACCACCACAGTTTTGGCTCAGTTTGTGTGATGTTTGAGTAGGTGGCTTTGTCCTTGGGTATCTCGAGGAACAAATCAGACAGGTAAGTAACTCAATACATGCTTTGGATAGATGTTAAAGCAGTAAGGAAAAATGGTTCCTCTTTCTCCAGGACTCCACTGAAGTGAAGAACTCGATGCATGGGCAGATCCATCGTCTCAGAGCACATGAGCACAGAATGTATCCAAGTGGGATTCTGAGAAGAAATCCTACCATGCAGAGGCCAATCAAGGTTCAGTGAAATCAGCCCCAACTTCAGTCTTACAGCCTATGAGAAGTCAAAGAATCCCTGCTCCTTCCTCTGCCCCAGCTTCTGTGACTTCTGTCTGGGCAGGCAAAGGGGCTGAATTCTTACTTCCTGTGAATTATGTCACAGTTTGTCCTAAATCCTTTAGTCACCTCCTGCTCTTAGGCAGTGCTGACCATGATGTGACCCAATTCCTCTCTTTGGTTTATTTCCGTTCTTCAAAGCAGTTGGTGTGTGTAGAAAACAACCAAAGTTTGGGGGCGATGGAGAGCAACTTATATAAATAATCTATTACTGAATAGGCATTCTAGTTCTTAAGAGTAATTTGACTTGTGCTTTGGTTGTGGGTTTTTTGTTTGTTTTCAAGACAGGGTTTCTCCTTGTAGCCCTGGATGTCCTAGAGCTCTCTGTTGACCAGGCTGGCCTTGAACTCAGAGATCCACCTGCCCCTGCCTCTGGAGTGCTGGGATTAAAGGCATGTGCCAGCACTGAATTTGACTTTTTTTTTTAATTTATTTATTAGTTCTAGTTAGGGAACAAGTTTGTT